TCATCATCATCATCATCATATTACAGTATTGACAGTAATAATAATAATAATAATACAACACAAATGGTAACACGAAATTCAATTATATCAAAACGATATGATAAAAATTTTAGAGAAATATTTACAAAAGAAACACAACTTAATAATGCACTTGCAGATTTAATTTCATTATCTAATGATGCTGATATATCTTCATCAATATCATCACCATCACGATCATTAACTAATATTTCTCAACATCGACGAACATCAAGTACTAATGATAATACCAATAGTATATCAGCAAGCATTGCTTTATTAAATAATTTACTTGAAACATTTGATCTTGATGATAAAGATTTTAAGAAAAATATTAATGATCAAAAAAGTCAAAAGAATGATAATGATCATGTTAAACCGATCAATATGTTTTGGTAGTAAAACATAGAAAAACAAAAAAGTTTCTTTGATTAGATATTAACTTTTAATTGTTTTCTAGTGTTATCATGTCAGATAATGTATGCGCTAATTGTCATCAATCATTTGCTACTAATGAACAAATTGTTAATGCTGCTGGACAAATTTGGCATACACAATGTTTTGTGTTAGTTTCTATCATTTTTTTTTAAATCAAAACTGTTTAAAGAAATCTTTTTGTGTTCAATTCTAGGTGTGCACAATGTTTTCAACCATTTGAAAAAGGAATTTATTTTGAAGTAAATTAATAAAATATTTTAGGGTTCATTTAATAGAATTTTCTTTTTTTTTACATTTAAAAGCATGAAGATCGAAAATATTGTGAACGAGATTTTCAAATGTTATTTGCACCATGTTGTGCAGAATGTAGTAAGTATTTTATTTTAGTTGTGAGATTGTTTTCTGTTTTTTTTTCTTTACTTAGAACAATCGATTGTTGGTCGAGTAATTCGAGCACTTCAAAAATGTTTTCATCCAGATTGTTTTCGTTGTCAATTATGTCATATTTCATTACTTGAAATTGGTTTTTCAAAAAATAATGATAGGTTTATAGTTTGTTTGTTTGTTTTTTGTTGAATAGTATTATTTAAAAATTTTTGTAGAGCTTTATGTCGAGAATGTTATACAAAAGAAAAAGCAAAAGATTCAATTATATCTCAACATATTTGTTCAACATGCCAGTAAGTTATGTAAAACTAAAAAGTATTATTTTCTTCTATCAAATTTTAAGAGAGTAGTATTTGTCCTGAAATAATTTTAGTAAAAGTTTTTGAAGATGTTATCATCTGATTTGCTATTAATAAGTTCTCTAACATCTTTTTTTCTCTCTTTGACACTTTAAAATTTCTCGAATTGAAGAAAAATTTCAAATCTCCTATTAGAGCGATGATTTTGTTCTTTAATATGTTAAAATATTCTTTTTCTAGACAAATACTTGATAATAAATATATTAAATACAAAGGTGAATATTATCATGCTTATCATTTTCAATGTTCATCTTGTCGGTTAGTTGAATTGTTTTATTTTTAAATGTAAAATATGATGTATTTTATAGAATTAAATTAGATGAAAATGCTCGAGAAGCACGTAGTTTATTATATTGTCAAACATGTTATAATAAACTTGATTTACCTATATGTGCTGCTTGTCGATGTTTAATTGATGATCGTGTTGTTAGTGCTTTGGGAAAACAATGGCATGTTGAGGTTTGAATTATATTTTAATGGATGAGTTTCTATTATTTTTTTTTTAAATCTTTTGTAGCATTTTTGTTGTGCACGTTGTGCTCAACCATTTCATGGTAGTAAACATTATGAAAATAATGGTTTAGCATATTGTGAAATAGATTATCATATTCTATTTGGTTCAACATGTTTTATTTGTAATAGAATTATTACAGAAGGAGGTAAATTTATTTTTATATTATATGAAATAAATAATTGAAAAATAATGTAAAAACTATTTTAAAATAATTTTCTTTCCTTGTTTACTAATTCTCAAAACAAAAATAATGTCTATATTATTCTCGATCTTTTACGTTGATGAAAGATAGAATTAATCTAATGGACATCCTCAGGTTGGGTCTCACGGACACTAGCGAAAGATTAAAGGAGTTCTTCTTTATGAGTTATAGATGCTGAGGTATGATTGATTAAGTGGATTTCCGAACAAGTTTTAGGTGTTTTCTCCAAAAAACCTAAGTAATGAAATTTTGATCCAAAACTTTTATCCCATAGATACTTATATTGACTTTAATATTGTCCTGAAGTTTTTAGTCGAAAATAATCTTACTTCATTGAGTTATTGAATTTTTAAGTGAAATCAATTTTTATGATATATTCGAGACAGAAAGTTATTTTAGGAAGATTGAAAATCATTATGAAGAAAGATTTTTGTTTGACTGAAACTTCATGATATTTTACCATTCATTAGATCTATCTATAGACAAAATTTTGGATCGAAACTCTATTATTTGGATTTTCGAGAGGGTATCTAAACATAAGTTAAACAAGACTTTCATCTGAGTTCAAAGGACGGATCTTAGCTAGGGTAGGCCCCTCATGAATGCGAATCAAGTGACAAACTTTTTTTATTCTGGAATGAAAGTTCCAATAATTAATTCTTTTTCTTATTTTTTTTAATAAGAAGAAATTTATGATAATTTTATCTTCTTTTTTTCTTTCCAGCTTACACAGCATGCAACAAAAAATATTGTGTTGATCATTTTGCTTGTTCAAAATGTGAAATGAAAATGAATGAAAAAAGTAAATTTTTTGATGTTGATGCAACACCTGTTTGTAAACAATGTTATGGTAAATTACCATCAAATACTCGAAAATCTCTTGAACAAAATCAAAAAAAAAAATCAATATCATCTATTTTCAAACAAAGTACTGTTTAACAAACAAAAAAGAAAATAATTGTCAGATTGCTTGTATGATTAAAATGAAGGTACACAATTAAGAAAGGCAATGTGTTTTAGTTTTTCCTTAGTGATAATACTTAAAATAAATTGAAGAAAATATTTGATTAAATGGAACAATTTCGTATCAAGAATATTACTTTTATAAATTCTCAATAGAAAGTTCGAAGAGAAAAGATGTTTGAAAAACTCCAGACAGATTCGTCTCATAGAAAAAAATCATTATAAATTTACTGTGTTTTCTACTTTGAAACTTTTCGGAGAATGAGCGAAAGTTCACTGAAAATAGATTGTGAACATTTTATTTTATTCAAAAAATTTCTAGAGACCTTTTGACAAATATTTCTTTTAAAATAATATTATTTCAACTATTTCAAACTTCTCTTCCTTTTATTATAAGTATTATCGTTAAAAAAAAAGTCACAAAAATACTGCGTGTTTAAAGTTTTTTTTTGCTTTCATTTTAATGAACTTTAAAATATGTTTTGTGTTCCTTTGTTTTCTTTTTTTTTGTTCTATTATTCATTAAAAAGACTATTTCGAATGAAATCAAAACTCTATCATAAGAAAATGAAACATGTTCGATTGTGTTGTGCGCTTTTTTACACTAATTAGAAAAAGAAAAAGAAAGTATTCCAAGAGCACTGGCATATACGATCACATCATCAAAAATATCTTCATCTTGTACAACGGCTTCAATATTAACAAGTAACAGTTTTGATGAAACTAATGATCAGTCAATTAGTTCGATGACTACCACATCATCTAGTCGTCGTCTAAGTGGACGAACTGAATCAAACACTATTCCAACACCACGAATTCATTCATCTATTGATACGAATCTATTAAATAATTCAATTTCAAATACACGACGATCAAGAAAATCGATTGATAATAAAATTCTTTGTAAGTTTAAAAGAATAATCACTCCAAAAAAGTATCCGAATGCTTATAAGGTTTTTTTGTATTTCTTCACGCTTTTGTGATGTTTATAGTTTTATGAGTGAAATCATAAGCAATGTCGGTAACTCTTCATATTCTTGAGAAATTTATACTCTTTCAGATGGTACTATTACAAACAGATCCCCACAAAGAACTCTTGATATACACTGCACTTAACAGAAAACTTTATTAAATATGTTAACTACTCAGCAACATAGAAAAAAGTTCAAAAATATTCTTGTTGTTATAATTCTGAGCAATGGTATATATATATTAAATTAATTTAGATCCAAATAATATCATTCTTGAGCCTCTATCAAATAATAAAAATATTAATTATTATATTCCACCTATACCTGGCATATCACTTAATGAATCTGAACAAAAAATTAAAACAAAATATACAGAATTATTAATAAATTTTTTTGAAACTCATCAACCATCATACGTATTTGAACCACTTCGTAAAGAATATTATTGGACAACGGAATCATTTAATGAAGATAAAACTACTCGACTTGATAAGTATGTTTTAATTTTATTAAATACAAAAAAAATGAAATTTCTGTTAACAGACTTCTTCATAGTACATCTTATTTTGTTCAAAGTATTTTTTGGTATTTACGTATATTATTAGCAATATGTATTACAATACCAATTGAAATTATTCATATTATTCTTGCTGGTTTAATTAAACCAATTCTAATACGTTTACCAATTATTATTTCTGATACTTTAATTAAACCATTGTATTCAGGTCTTTTTAATTCTTTTATGTATGTTTATCGTTATTTTCTTTTTTGTTTTTAATTCAAGATTTTTTGTAATTTTTTAGTTTACCAATTGGAATTCTTCTATGGAATACAAGTGATCTTTTTGCTAAAACATTTGAACCATTCATTCGTCTTTTTACTCTTTTATTTGAACCATGTATTAATTGTTTTCGATTATCATCATTAAAAAAAATCAATGAACAACAATTAGATAATGGTGATGGTTATCATCATATGGAACAGAAAAAATCAACATTATGTGTTTAAAATTTTCTTGTATGCTATTTTAAAAGAATATATATATATATGTGAATTATAAATTTGTTTCTACGAATAAGATATTAACTAATAATTTCTGTTCTTCTCGGCCGATCCAAAGGGTGTGGGTGTGGGGTGTGGGTGTATGCGTGTGGGTGTATGGGTGGGGGTGGGTTGGGTATGGGCGTGGCTGTAGGTGTGGGGTGTGACTGTGGGTGGGTGTGAGCGTGTGGGTGTGGATGTATGGGTGGGGGTGGGTGCGAGCGTGTGGGTGTGGATGTGGATGTGGGGTGTGGAATATGGGTCTTCTCTTTACTCACACTCGCACCCCACATTCACACCCCACACCCACCCATACCCACAGTCGCAGCCACAGCCACACCCCACACCCTTTCTAAAGCCTTTTAATTTTTTTAGCATTTATTTATATGTTAATATTTATGTTTTTTTAGTATGGACAATATTTTGCTTCTATCGTCTCAGCAGTATGTCAGCTCTGAGTTGGACAATTCATGAGAAAAAGCTAATAGAAAATAATAGTTAGTAACAAAAAATGTTTTCTGTATAAAAAAACGTGTTCTGAGATCACGTTAATGCTCCTTTGTAACATGCTGTGAAGAAAATTGTTAGATTTTCTTTGCGAAAATATTCATTTCAACGATCATAGGACCTAATTAACGTGGTACGCTTCCAAACGTGTCACACATGAAGAGATCTTTCTGAAATAAGAACATCTTCGGTAAAAACCCGTTGTTCATCAGTTAATACTTCGCTTCGTCTGTGCATTTTCTTCTAGAAATCTTGACACGTTCTTATCATGCAAAATCTCATTCATAATTGGAAAAAATATATCTCTGAGAACATACAGTGAGGCGTGTCTTATGAAATTCCTCTCATATGTCTGGGGATGTATCTCTTTTCGCATGAAGATGCCCAAGTACTTTTCTAAGCGGAAGCAAAAGATTCTAAAACCACTCTCAACGTGTATTCAATCGCTCTTTTTCTGTAAATTGTTTCTTCGTAGATAACCATATTCATTCAAATTAGCTAGAAACTAATAACTAAACTGGTAGTACATTTCATCTTGAATCAATTCTATTTATACGAGCCAATCCTCAACATAAGCAACTAACTGAAATAACTTTGACATAAAAAGGGTTAATTTTCTTTCATTAAGTTATTTATACCTCCGGGTAAAA